GGTCTGGTCGTGGGGCCTGAACTCTGGGCATGGGCACTGTCCCTCAGCTCTTCAGCTCAAGGCTAGTGCTCTACCACTTGAGCCACAGCGCCACTTCCGGCTTTTTTCTTTTTGCTTATGTGGTGCTGAGGAATTGAACCCAGGGCCTCAGACATGCAAGGCAAGCGCTCTACCAGTGAGCCACCTTCCCAGCCCACCAAATGTTGTTTATCCTAGAATTCTTCCCTCTTTCTCCTATTTCATTTCCTTTTTACTAGGGCATTTTCATTAATCAAAAAAATGACATTAATTTCTCTTAAGGCAGATTTAATTTCTGATTTCCCATCCCAGCTCTTTTAAATAGCTTTATTCTCTTTACAGAGAAATTCCAAAAAAGATTTTTCACAACCTCTACTTTCCATAATTATCTTTTTAAGACTTATAGTAAATACATATAAAATTAAAACTTACCATTTTAATCGCTTAAAGTATATGTCAATGTCATTCGTTCAGATTGTTTTGCATCCATCTTTAAAATCTATTCCAGTAAGCCTTATGTCTTCATTTACTGCCATGTGGCAGCCAGTCTAGAAGAGCTAATTAATTGTAGGTTTCTTTTCCCAACTCTCAACACAATGGACCACATTGATAGGTTGAAACCAGCCATAACAGGAATATTTATACCACGGAAACTGCCAGTCTACAACTTAAACTTTCTTTTCCCATCCCCAAAAAGGCAAGACTAATTTTGACTGACATTTACTCATAAATATATTATATTACACTCTTTAAATTTAGAAGATCTAATAGATTATGACATTAATACATTTTTAAACAATAAATACAAAAAATATGTAATAATTTTATCATCCTAATGTGTCATTAAATGGCAATAACATGGTATCTAAAAAATGGAGTAAGCCATGAATGGTGCAAAATAAATCACATTGAAATCCACTATGGTTACTACCTGACTCCAGTGGAGAATATTTTGAACAGATGTTCCTGCTGGATTGTGTGAAAAATAAACATCCAAACGGCTCTAAAGGTTAAAAATAAATGTTTATATTTATTTCAATAAGAGAAAGCATAATTTTGGTATTTAATGTCTAAAATTACTTCAAAAGATGGAAAGTCAATTTTAATAAATATCAATAATATACTTACGCACTTATTAAATTCTACAACTTTTAGAGAAACTATAATTTATTTCTAACTTATTTGGTCTGTAATCTCCAACAAAAATTGATTAACTCTACACACACACACACACACACATTACAGTAAGTAAGGATCCTTCAAAACAAGGAAGAACACAGAGGAGTTCACATTTTTGGTCCAGCATGAAAGGGGTTCAGCAGTCACCACTCTATCTTAAAAAGTAAAAGGTTAAACATCCTGAAAAGTAGCAGCTCAGCTTGCATCTATCCAAGAATTAAGATCTCAAGGTACAAACTAGTCTATTCCTCCCACAGAAAATTGGAGACACTAGTAGGTGAATATAGAGAATCACAACTTACTAAAACACAAGCACATATCCAAGTGAAAACCAGTAGAGAGGTTAGAAATGAAAAGAAATGGATAAATTGTTGAACAGTGTGAAAAAAGTCTGAGCAGAGCTTTGGCAGTCTTGGAAGGACATCCTTACAGATCTGTGGAGCTTTAGCAGGATCTCAGAAAGAATGTCATAGAAAAACTCCTGAAGATTTAGCTGAATTGTGAATAGTGCAGCAATAAACACAAATATTGGATCTAGACCCAGAAGTAATAAAGCCAAATTATATACAAGTTCCATTTTTAATTTTTTTCAGAAACCTTTGTAGTGGTTTCCATAGTAGCTGGACTGGCTAATTTACATTTTCACCAGCCAATAATGTACAGCTGTTCCTTTCCCCCTGTATCAATGAATGAAAAAAGAAAATATGGATATATACTTATGTCTTTATTCAGTCATAAAGAAGAATGAAATATTTTTATTTGAAGGATAATGAGTAGAACTGGTAATTGTCATGTTAAGTGAAAGAATCTAGTCTCACAAGCATAAGTATCACATGTTTGTTTGGGGTTTTTGTTGTTCACATGTGGAACTTGGGATGATAGTAAATGTGGGACTATTAGAACTATTAGAAATATGGAAAGAAGAGGTAGAAAGGAGAATTAGCAAGGGTAACAGAGCTGGGTGTGTTCATAAACACCTGTAATCCCAGCACTGGGGAGACTGAAGTCTTTGAGTACAGCCTGAATTACACAATGAGAGAGCTTGTCTCAAAAAACAAAAAAGCAGTAATATAGTAGGTGAACAGGATCAAGTATATGTGTGTATACAAAGAGATAAATGTCATTATGAAGCTCTTTATTGTACAATCGATATATACCAATAATAAAAAATATAATCAATATATAGCAATAATGAAAAATATAAACAAACAGAAAAAAGGAAAATGTCCTCATGTTTCCAGTATGAGGGAAATAGCAGCCATTAGAAATAGACCAAATTATACTGTTATCGCCTACTTTCAAGAGAAATTATTGTACCATTATTGACTAATCTGTTTGAGTTTCACCACTCTGGATTAGTTAAAAATGGATTAGTAAAACATTTAAAAATACCATGCACATTAGAATTAATATGGATAATAACTTAAAATATCTCTAAGAAATAGCATTAAAACTCATAAAAACCAAACCATCAAACTAAAGGAAAAGAAATTAAAACCACAAATAAAAGTAATCAAAATTTAAATTTATAAAAATTTATACAATTTATACACAAATGGATAACGCTTAAGTTAGAAGAAATCACAATGAACTGAAACAACTCAATAGCATAAAAACAAATAACCTGATTAAAAAGTGAACAAAGGCTCTGAACACCTCAAACGACATACCAATTGACAAACTGATTAGTGAAAAATGCCCAAGAAAATCATCATGGAAAACACAAATTAAAACTACAATAAGACATGACCTCACACTGGTATAATGGTCATAAAAAAATGAAAGATAACACGCAGGGAAGAGAGAGCTTTTGTACCCTGTTGATGACGTTAATTAGCACAACTATGATAGGAAACAGGATAGAGGCCTTACCATAAAACAGAATTAGCACAACTAAGCATATATCAAAAGGAAATGGAATCAGTATGCCCAAATGATACCTGAAATCCCATGTTCATTGCAATATTATTGATAATACTTAAGATTCAGAATATCAAGCTAAATGTTCTACAAATGGATAAGTGAATAGGGAAAAGTGAAATATTTGAGAATGATTATGGTATTCATTTGACAATGCATACATATACCAAATCATTACATTATGAATTTCAAATAAAAATAATTCTGACTGCTAATAGTACCTGAGTAAAACTGAAAAAGTAAGTTATTTTGTTTCCATTGCAGCTGGAGAGCTTAAAATTTTAGAGACAAAAGTTCTGACAGAAAAATTTAAACATGGACTGAACAAAACTTTCTAAAAGAAACATTCTATAACTTAAACTCTTGAGAAGGTATGTATTTCACGCTCTAATATTAATTCCTCCCTATGGTTAAGTAAGGTCCACTATATTGTTTAGTTTTCTGGATGGAACCAGTAGAAATTCCTTCTGTTATGCCCTAATTTGAGTTAGAATCTTTCACAACTCAAAGCACACTAAGAATTGATCCTTCTGCATGAAAAGTTGAATGTCCATGCCTATCAACAGAGAATCTGAGATGTTTTCTGGAATTTCTGCCCTGGTCAGAAACGTAAAGAAAAAAACCATCCCTCAAAAGAATTTACAATAGCTAAGATATGGAACCAACCCTGATGTCCCTCAGTATATGAATGGATCTTTATACCACATTATATGTGTATGTGTGTGTGTGTGTGTGTGTGTGTGTATACACATATATTGGAATTCTATACTTCCATCAGAAAGAATGACACCGCTCCATTTTTGAGGAAATGGAAGGACTAGGAAAAAAATCATTTTAAGTGAAGTAAGCCAGACAAAGAAACATAGGTCCCATGGTCTCCTTTATTTGTAATAATTAGTATACATCTAGGTTAATCTTATCAGGTGAGCAGAATAGTTCAATAGCTATGCACATATGACCATACAAGATGATGCTAAGTGAGATGAACTCCAAGACATGGACACAAGAGGTTTTTCTTTGGTGTTGTTCTACATGATTTCTCTTTTTTGTTTCTTTCCTCTATGGTTTAAACCCTGTTGTCACTGTATTTGATTCTGGTACCCTGGGTATTGTATATACTTTTATCTGAGTTAGGGAAGGGAAGGGGAACAACAAAATGCTGAGACAAAGGACAAGCAGGAATCTATGCAATAGTGATACTCACAAGATAACATGGGGAGGGAAAGAGGGAGAAAAATGAGGGAAGTAGTAACAAGTTAGACTTATTTAACTGCAACCCCTCTATACATCACCTTGACAATAAAATTAACATTTTTAAAAAAAATTTTATTATTTTTAAGTGGTTGTACTAAGAAGTTCCCATTCTACAAAACAGTATATGAATACAAAGTGTCTGATAACAGTGTCACCCATTGCTCCTAACCCACTCTAAAATAAAGTTTTTAAAACTAAAAAAAGAATAACTCAAAATCACAATCCCCTGATAACTGTACCTAGACAGCTCAGGCTCACTCCCATTCGTGTTAGTTAGAATTTCTTTCACCATCAATTTTTTTCAGAGTGTTAGAATATATGTCATCAGAAATCTCTGTCAAAAATAAAAAAAAATAATTGGGAAAAGTAAAAATTCTGGATTGCTTGTTGAGCACAAATATATTATAACCAATAATGCTTTCACCTCTGGCCCAGAAGAAATACCCACAAATATGAAGACTAAGAATATAGTCTCTAAGTTTTTCAATAATTTATGGAAAAATAAATTTCAGAGACATACTATAATTGCTAAAAATATAGTACTGGGCAAATATAATACCCAAATTGTAGGCTGGATGGATAAGGCTAAAGAATAAAGACTTTCAATTCTTCCAAACTTGTCATAATAGATGCATAAAAATGTGTGTAAAGGGCTGGGAAGGTGGCTCAGTGGTAGAGTGCTTGCCTTGCATGCATGAGGCCCTGGGTTCGATTCCTCAGTACCACATAAGCAAAAAGAAAAAAAACCGGAAGTGGCGCTGTGGCTCAAGTGGTAGAGTGCTAGCCTTGCGCTGAAGAGATGAGGGACAGTGCCCCGGCCCAGAGTTCAGGCCCCATGACCGACCTCCTCCCCCCCCCAAAAAATGTGTGTAAAGTATGAAAAAAGGAGGATATAAAAGTGCTACTGTTTATCTAAATGCAGAAAATCGATTTCTTATACTATACTAAGCAAAAGAGTAAGAACTAAAAAGTCTCATATTGTAAAACATTTCTTTCTTATGCTTTTAGTTGTCTGTATAACTGAGAATGGGTTAAGACCTTCATAAGGTTGAATAAAATCAACCTAACCTTGTAGCATTAAAATGTATACAAAAATTTAGGAAAAAAACCCACTAGATCTTTGAGTATAAACTGATTCAAATTGAGAAGCCTTTTTGAAAGCCTAAATTTAAGAACCAACCACCACCTAACATGTTGCAACTGCATCTGACAAATCTGGATTTTAAATTGCTGTCATTAGCAAGTTCAAATAGATGTTTACATCTATTCTACATCTATATACTACATATAAATATATACTACTATATACATTTACATCTATATACTCCTAACTCTGCCCAACAGTTCTTGCTAATCCACAACTGTTTGCCTCTGTGGGAATATGTATGAATACTAGAAACTTAAAGATAATTGGCAGGCACTAATTATAATTATTAAAGAAGCAACAAGGGAGATGTAAGATTGTTAGGAACCAAACTATAAGAGAAAGAATTGTGGGAAATAGTAACAGTTTAAGTATTAAGTCTCAACAAAGTAACATACAATAGCAATAGTTACTAAAGTTTCCCATCACAATTGCAAGTCAATACAGAAGTAAATAATCTCAGCTTGCTAAGGCAAATTAATTATATAAGCTTAGCCATAAAAATCTACCAGCATATGTAGATGAATCATAAAATGACCCACAAGGCAAAATGTAAGCAAACTACAACAGAAAAAATTTTAAGTACAAGTCATTCTCACCATATTTAAGTTATTTGAATCATGTCCAAACATCGTAAACAAGGTATGGAGGCAAATCTTATCCAAAATCCGTCGTGGACACAGTTTTGAACCAAGGAAATTATTAAATGAAGTTTGAGGGAAGAAGTCTTTGTTTCCAAAAAGTGCCTGTAAAATAAATTTTCCTTTATCGCATTTGAAAGACCACAGCAATTAAGAAATGGCTTGATCAGAAGGGAACCCTACTGCATTGTTGGTGGGAGTGTAAACTTGTTCAACCACTTTGGAAAGCAGTATGGAGGTTCCTCAAAAGACTCCATATAGAGCTCCCCTATGACCCAGCAATCCCACTTTTGGGCATTTACCCAAATGATCACAAAAAAGGCCATACCAAAGCTACCAGCACAACTATGTTTACAGCAGCATTATTTACCATAGCTAAGATATGGAACCAACCCAGATGCCCCTCAGTAGATGAATGGATCAAGAAAATATGGTATATAAATATATAATGGAATTCTATGTCTCCATCAGAAAGAATGACTTTGCTCCATTTGTTAGGAAATGGAAAGACTTGGAAAAAATTATATTAAGTGAAGTAAGCCAGACTCAAACATAGGTCCCATGGTTTCCCTTATCTGCAATAACTAGAACATGTCTAGGACAAGCAGAAAAGGTCAAAAGCTATGTACATATGACCATATAAGATGATGTTAAGCGAAATGAACCCCAAGATGGGGGTTCTAATGTATTTATAATGTACTGTGTGATTTTTTTTTCTCTCTATATGTTCCTTCCCCCATGGTATAACCCCTATTCACTGTATTTGATTCCGGTGTCTTGCATCTTGTATATACACTTCTCAAATTTGGGGAGGGGAAGGGAAAAACCAAAATGTTTAAATAGGGATACAGGTTGACCCACTGTAACAATGAGATGTACAAGACACTATGTTGAAAACAAACTTTACAACTTCGGTGGGGGAGGGGGATATTGGGGGAAGTGGGAGGGAAGGGATAGTAGGGGAAACAAAGGAGGAGGCAACAATGCTCTATAGGAAATGTACTCATTACCTTGCTCGTGTAACTGTAACCACTCTGTACAGTATTTTTACAAAAAAATGTATAAAAAAGAAATGGCTTGATGTGTTTACTGTGAATAAAATTAAATGAATCATCTCATCAGAGTTTAAGAAATTTAAACCTATCACATTTATACCCAGCATATTTGATCCTCAGTACATATAAAGAGAAAGACTAAGGGAAAAGTTGGGAACAGAGTAGTAATTTTATCACTGGGTTTCCTCTCACAATGAGGTGTCCAAAGATAAAGTAATATTCCATTCCTTTGTGAAAAACAAAGACAAGACTCCAGTATAAATGAAGCTAAACATCCCATTTCATACATGTGGCTGCACAAATATAGTGAAGTCTTCTTATTTTGAAAGCATTGTCATTTTAGGTAATGGACTACAGAAAAGAAAGGTAGAACATACCTTGATTGCTAACTTCCACTTGATTGCCATTTTAAGTAAAAGGCATTTCATGTGTTTAATAGAAACAATTGGTGCTAAGGCAAAGAATATTTTGATTTTTTCAGCTATCTTTGGTATGGTTGCAAATGTTATAAAAGCTGAAAGAAAAAATGTTATACATTACTAAGGCAGTTTCAAGAAGCACTAGAATGTAAAAAATTATAGCATAGAGAATAAAGTTCAAAATCAGTCTCAACAATTCATTAATACATCCAGGCATTTCTTAACTTAGCAACAATTTTAGTTACTAGCAGTGATACTTTATTGGTCACAACATAATACATTTAATTAGAATTTTACATATAGCCACAAAGAATGATTTTAGTAACAAATCTGACTTAAACAATATAGCTTGAAACGAATGAATATTACACTGAATAAAATCAGGAATATTGAACATTTATATAACTTAGAATGATAAAAATGAGATAAAATTTTCACATTAATGACTCATATACTTTAGTTGAGAATCAGCAAACTTGTTCTAGACTTATTTTACTTCATATATTAATATGCTTGCCAGTACTGGGATTTGAATTCATGAACTTAATATGTGCTAGGCAAGAAGCACCCTACCGCTTAAACCATGCCTCTAGTCTTTTTGCTTTTTAGGTTATTTTAGATAAAGCCTTGTTTTGTTTTGTTTTGCCCAGGCTAGACTGGAATCTGCTGCCTATACCTTCTTGTAGCTAGGATTTCAGGTGTCTACTGTCATGCCTGACTTGTTTGCTGAGATGAGCTCTCCCTAATTTTCACCTATAATAACCTCAAATTGTGTTCTTCCTGTTTTTGCCTCCTCAGATTACAGGCCTGTAAATTAGACTACCAAACTCAGCCTAATTTTAATGTCTTTTTTAACTCCTTGCTTTCTTTTCTTTTCTTTTTTCTTTTTTTTTTTTGTGCCAGTCCTGGGACTTGAACTCAGGGCTTAGGCACTGTACCTGAGCTTTTTTTGTTTTGTTTTGTTTTTTTTGTCAGTTGTGGGGTTTGAACTCTGGGCTTGGGTGCTGTCCTTGCACTCTTCTGCTCAAGGTGAGCCCTCTATGGCTTGAGCCACAGTCCTACTTCTGGTTTTCTAGTGGTTTATTGGAGATAAGAGTTTCACAGACTTTTCTGCCGAGGCTGGCTTTGGACCACGATCCTCAGATCTCAGCCTCCTGAGTAGCTAGGATTACAGGCATGAGCCACAGGTATCCAGCCCCTGAGCTTTTTTCCTAAGTCATCCTCTACCACTTGAGCTATAGCTTCTTGATGAATAATTGGAGATAAGAGTCTCACAGACTTTCCTTCCCAAACTGGTTTCCAACTCTAATCCACAGGTCCTCAGCCTCATGAGCTAGGATTAATGTTTTAGACATTATTATTTAAATTAATAAATGTACAAATAGCAATCATCTTTTTTTTTTTTGTCAGTCATAGGGCCTGAACTCTGGGCCTGGAAGTTGTCCCTCAGCTCTTTGGCTTAAGGCTAGCACTCTACCACTTGAGCCACAGCTCCATTTCCAGCTTTTTCTGTTTATGTGGTACTGAGGAATTGAACCCAGGGCCTCATGCATGCAAAGCAAGCACTGTACCACTGAGCCACCTTCCCAGCCCCAATGATCTTTTTTTCATACCAATAGTAGTGCCCTGTGAATGGCCTACATAAAATATTTCTTCTTGTCCAGTTTGCTTCACTATGAAATCAATGGAAGCTGGAAGGTCATATTTAGCCATCTCGTCAAAACTATAAAACAAAAAGAGAGATAATAGCACTTTCTACTATTAGTATATCAATATTTGAAGATATGGAATATGTAATGAATATGAATAAAGGCAATTATCAATCATTTGGGGGCATTATCAAAAATATATATGGTAAAATGTACTTACTGGATTAAAGACTTCATGAGGAACCCAGTGAAGGAAACATAATGAAAGTGTGTATATGTTATGAATACACTGGGGGGACTAACCATCAGTCATGGAGGGCAAAAGTTGGTAAAGCAAGGGTGGAATTAGTTAGCAAGGTACCAAATAAGAAAATGAAATTACTGCTGAATAATGGGAAACTAGTTCAAAATTAAACAAGCTTTCTATAATTTTCAAGCTCTATTTAAAAAAATTTAAATATGTATTTTTATGATCTCTGGAACGTCCTGAGAAAAATGTGACACCTAATTTTTATATTATTTCATTCAAAAGAAATTTCTCAACAGACTTTTAAAAATACAATTGAAAGTTACTTCATTTTACATTTACCTGAAAGCCCAGAACTCACTGGAATTTGTTTCTAGGTATACATGTTTCCTGGACCATGTATTTCCTCTGCTGTTTCCCATCCACACATCATAACCAGCATCTGCAAGAATGAAGCCTAGACTGTTGTTGGGAAGATTGGAAATCCAATTGCTGGCAGAGGTAAGTAAACCATGTTGCAAATATACAACAAGCCTTTGAGCTGGGGGGAAAATACATATAATTTAAATTTTAAATTGTGTAGCATCTAAATGAAAAGCTAGAAACTAAAATGCAACCTTTTAAATACTACACAAATGAAGGTAAATCCCTAATGTTTAAGCCCACAATAGTTGTTTCATATACTGATAGGTATTAATGTATTGATTTTTTAAAATAAACAAGCAATTAAGTCACATCCCACTTATATAAATATTAGAAAGAGTGAATAATTAAATATCTAATAATGATTTGAGTACTCCTGGATATTTTATATAACATTATATAAAATATTTCCATGTTTTTTTCACCTTCACATTTCATTTTTAGAACTTTATGATCACATTTTTCAGACATATTCAACATGTTATCAGAATTTTCAGAGTTTCAATCTGTACTTTAAAGGTTCTTAAAAATATTACCTTTTTGGATAATGTAATTTTGGCTAGAAGGGAATCTCCATAGTGGGGTTCAAAGACAGACAAGCCTATACTTTGAATAACTGACACCAGGGTACAAAAGACTAAATCATTTGATTCAACGTTAGATCAACTCTGATTCACTTCAAGTTCTTTATCAACTCAAGCCACCAGGCTAAAGCTTACACTTCCAGTAGAGATCACATCCTTGCTCTGATCTCTTCTGTGTTCCCCATAGAACTTTAGTTCATCTGTAATGAACTAAAATAAAATCCAGAAATGAAATTACACAAAGTACTTTAACAGTACATCCCATAGTTGAAAGAGATAGTGGAAATGAGGGGAGGGAGCAGAAAGGGACAGCAGTTGTTGAGTGCCAACAACATTTCTGAAGAACAAACTGGTCAAAGTTTTGCTGTCACCAATTCAATGCAAAAGTCATAAGGCTTCCTGGGCAGTGAAAACAAAACAGAACAAAACAAAAGCCTTAGTTTCTGTTGTAAGAAAATAATTTGAGGAAGTTTGAATTACGTGTTTTGGGTAGAACTCCTACCATATTGAGGACCACAGTACGGTTACAAAAATATCTGAGAAAAACTTCAGAAACTTGATTTTTCTGCATGAACTCATTCTAAGACTTGAGGCATCTTTGGCTCACACCATGCTGCTTCTCTGTGTGTGAAAAATTACAACTATGATCTGATACAAACAAACATGGTAGCCTCATGGATAGGGTTTGGTTTATGCCAACCCTGGACATACAAGTTGGCAAGACTTCAAACTGGGCACAGCATTATGCAGGAAGTATACAATAGAGGAACAGCATAGGCTAGCTTGGACAAGAAAAGCAATTTCTCCTACCTGTAAAATAACTAAAGCAAAAGAGGCTAGGAGCCATTAGAAATGACAAAATAATGGCATTTGCAGGGAAATGGATGGAGCTAGAAGAAATCATGAGCGAGGTAAGCCAAGAACAAAGAGACAAATGGTACATGGTCTCCCTGATAAGTGGATGTTAAATCCAAAATGTTAGGTGATACAACAAAATTAACAGGACTTAAGAAACAAAGAACTTCCACTCATCTGGTCGAACCACTACTAAATATCCCCATGCTGCTGATCACATGTATGGTGTATATGTGTACACCGTTATATGTTATAGACCGTGATAGACAATTTGCTCCAGGAAAGTTAGAATGAGCTTGTGACTTTAAATGAGCATCATTACTCCACAATACTGTGAAATTTGGGAAATTATGTAATCACTTTATCACACACACAAAAAAAAGCACCAGAAAACTAGAAGTGGCGCGATGGCTCAAGTGGTAGAATATTAGCCTTGAGCTGAATCATTCAGGGACAGCTCCCAGGCCTAGAGCTCAAGCCCCACGACTGACAAAAAACAAAAAACAGACAAAAAAAAGTGGCTAGGGATGTGGCTCAAATGGTACGATGCCTGCCTAGTAAGCATAAATCCCTGAGTTTAAACCCCAGTACTTGTCTCCTCTCCCTTCCCCCCTCAAATAAGACAACAACAAATCAACAACAAAAACCCTACACTGATTCCTTTCAAATTAAGGTCTTCTGAAGAATATGTTCATATTCAAAATAAGAGTATGAAGACTGTCCTAAATTATAGAAACACTTTTTTCAGGAAGAAAATTTTAGGAAATAATAAAGACTCTTATCATTTATTGGGGGCAATCAGCTGAACAAGCAAATGTAATCAAATACATCTTCTACTAATAATTGGCCGATCTAAGACGATGGCCCAGATTTTGTGACAAATTCAAGGGTATTTCTCACCATATTCCTCTCATACCAATATACTTACTATTGTGATAAAGATCCAACTTGATCAATTTGCTATTATTATAGTAGAGAATTGCACACAAAAAAAGAATTATATACTGGCTTTTTTCAAATCCAAAGAAGGAGGGTAAGAAATGTGGTTCTACTTCCTCAAACAAAGAAATTCTAGAAAATCAACATCTGATCATTTTGATTGATAGCTCTGATGCTGAATGTGATTAAATGGTAGAGGAATGAGTTAAAGTTTTTCATGAAGAAAACTTGTGCTTCACATACTTAAAACTACTTAAACAAGGACCCAATGGGGCACCTGATTATCTTCTAAAAGCATGAAGACACATGAGAAATTAACTGTTCTCTTTATCTTAAAATACTTCTTTTCACCATGTTCTCAGATTAATTAAAAAGAAATGATTCAATAACTTCATTAATCTGTCCTCAATTGAATATTACCTGAATTGTTACTGTTTGTCTTCCCATAAGGAATTCTATAAAGGCCAAGGATATAACCATCTTCTGTTACAACATTATACTCTTCATCGGGGTAACCCCAGTAGGAAATTATTTGGCTCTGGATAAAGAAAAATCTTTTCAGCATAAAATTGTGATTAATTTCAATTAAATTTGCCATTTGTAACTCATATAACTTATGAAAGTTCACTTAACTTCTAGTTACACCTCCTAGACCATTTGGCCTTATTTTCCAGATAAGATCTCCTGAGTTTTCCAGAACTGAGTCAGACCCCAGTCGTCCTACATCTGCCTTCCGTGTAGCTGCCATTACTGCTAAGCACCACTATGCTGTGATTCTTTTTCTAGATATGGTCTCACTAACTCTTTTGCCCAGGCTGACATCAAACCACAAACCTTCTGTCTCCACCTCTGACATACTAAGGTGCCAACAAACCCAGACCCAGCTTATGTACTTTTCCATTAGACATTTGTTTATCTGGTACATATTTATGAAACATCTACTCTGCACTAATCTTAAACACTAGGTTTTCAAAGAAAAATTCTTCCAAAGCATTACTCTCAAAGAGATATCTCAAGAACCAGCCTACTAATTTTTCTTTTTTATATATTTTTTCTTCACACCTGTACCTACTCATCACATGCAATTTAAAATATGTGCATCCATAAATGTTTTCATGTCAATGTATATATCTAATCTTGCATTTCAAATTTGTATGTATGTGAATATATTGGAAATAAATTGTACAACACCTATGAAGGCATATGTATACTTACATTTTTTAACCATATAAGGCTGAGAGTACTACAGAACAGTAGACGAGAAACAGTAATCTCTATCAAATATATGCATGCAGAGACAGATATTTGCCTATAAGCCTATTGACTTAAAAGTCTAAGATTTGAAAAGTATCATTCTCTGTTATACCAGTAGTTTAGATTTGTTTACAACTTACAATATTCATATTTGCTTCAGGGTTCACAGATTTTCTATCCTGAAAGACATCATAAGCACTGCCAAGAACTAGGATGGAATATATCAGCGTGAAAAGGCACCACATTTGGAATCTGTATATAAAATGAAAATAGTTTTGCAAATATAGAATATGTACTTAAAATTTTTATTTTTTATTTTTTTGCCAGTCCTGGGGCTTGAACTCAGGGCCTAGGCACCACCCCAAACCTCTTTGTGCATAAGGCTAGCGCTCTACCAATTGAACTACAGGACAACTTCCAGCTGTTTTTTGAGTAGTTTATTGGAGATAAGAGTCTCACAGGGACTTTTCTTGCCTGGGCTGGCTTCAAACCTCCTCAGAGCTCAGCCTCCTGAGTAGCTAGGATTATAGGCGTGAGCCACCAGTGCCCAGCTCTGAATTTATTTTTCTTAAATTTGCTAAATTAAAATTTTAATTTATGGAAACTTGATTACTTCCTTTTGTAACTGGGATTTAAAGGCTGCTTTTGCTAAAATTAAATGTTTCACTTTAAGATGTTTTTGCTACATTAAATTCTGGGTCAGATTCCCATCTAATTCTGCACATAGACCTTTATCATTTATGGAGTGTCTGCTAACATGATGTTGATTAACTCTAGATTTACCTTGGTGGGGTTGAGTAACCCTAATTTTGTTTCTCCTAGAAAATTGAAACAATAAGAGAAACTAAGATATTTTCAAGATTCCAAGAACAGGGAACCTTGGGCTGGGATGTAGCTCAGTGGCAAAGCGCTTGCCTAGCAAGTGCAACCTCCTGGGTTCGATCCCCAGTACCAAAAAAGAAAAAGAAAAAGCCAAGAACAGGGAACCTTGAAGATGGATCGTGCTCTGATCACCATATGACCTGATCAAGATAGTGTGGAACTATTACTTCTCTCATTGTGTATATTATAATTCAATCATAATAGCTTATATTCAAAACATATCTATGAATGTAATTATTTTTAATTGACATCTCTATTATACTCTTAACTCATAATGACCTTAGGGCTTACTAATGGCCTAAGTGCTCTCCCTAATTTTATAAAACTATTTCCTAAACATAAAAATTAAGACTGAATATCGTCAATAAATTTGTTTGGATTAAACTTATGTCACCAACAGCCAGTTAAAATCTTTAAAAATTCTGATTTTACCACTTACAAGGGAGCTTTGCATTTTGGTTTTAGACCCCCTAAAATACCTTAAGTGTTCCATCAATTATTTATAGTTATCAATAATAAAGTGAGGACAGACCAAGTTATACACTTAGCTGACATATTTTATATTACTACAATTAGATTATACTATAAAAATCACTTTCTGCCAAAGGAAAATTACTGAAATCATCCAAGGAGTTACCAACCAACCTATTTTTGCCTTAAGTATTAAGTATTATCCTCAAAAGTCATTTATACCTTCTTGGCAGTTAGTGGATCTTTAGTTCCTGACAGTTCTAACTTTGATTCTAGTTGCCAGGGATACTGAACTGGATATGGTACTGGCTACTGGCATTAAATTCTAATAGCAGGAAAGCAATAACTACTTAAGAAAACAAGTTAAAAAGAATGATAACAGCTAAGTGTGATTAGGTCAAGTTTATAGACATCTCTTATATGATTTTTAAGCCTGTAGTTGAATGAGAACAGCTTTACAACGATGAGAAATAAGAAGAGAGGTGGGTTAAAGAAAAAGGTAAAGGTGACTAAACAGAATAAATATTTGAACAAAGGATTTTCGCAGCTGTTTTGCAGTTTTTATTTTATTTGGGTCACCTAGTTATTCTCACCTCTCCATAAAGATTCACTAGTGCCAATGGAACCAATAGTTAGTGTAGCTATGGACTAAACCATAACATACCCCTTAGGCTGAGAGTAATAGAAAACCCTAAGACACCAAGACAATGCTACTCTAGGCCTTAACAAACTAAAAGTTTGGATAAATGATTTACAAGATCATCCTATCTATGACAAGGACATAGAAACAGAGAATGAAGGATTATTATGAATTTCAAACCAAAGTCAAGTACTTTCTATGCTTACAGTGGCATAAATAAATATTTTCCACAGAAAATATTTGCCACAGAAAGCGAGAACTCTGAGGATATATTCCAAGGACAAGAAATTTAGCTTAATCACGACACAAACATAGGTTGTGCAAATACTGCTGAATATTTATCAATATTCAAGTTGTACATAAGAACTTGATTCTGTATGAACATGAAAGCTATGCATGTTTTTGAAGATGACAAAAAGTGATCTACATGTTAAGTGTAGAATGTAGATTGAGTAAGGAAACCAGTGATAAAGCTCTTGTAATAATTCAGCTCAGAAACTTCTGAGCTCAAGGGATGAATTACATTATTGACAATTACCTCACAAAGTGCTGAAGTTAGCAAGAATGCAATGAGTAAATTTTGCTAGGCATATTAATACACTGCAATACAATTCATTGTGTAAGTTGGACTTTTCTGTTCTATAATTTGATAAGATTGTATCCAAGAAACATTAGTTTGCAATTCTGTATTTTTAAGTTTGAATGTCTTCTCAGAGGACAGTGTATTCATCCATAGTTTTCTCCATTCTCTTCATCTATTTCTCCTAACATCAATCCATCATCAATTTAAAAAGTGGAATACTTTTTAGTATTAGCATGTACGTGTGTATATGTACATGTATATATATATATATATACACACGTGTATGCATATATTTACAGCATATTTTGATCCTCTACACCCCTCAGGATCCTTTGCTCCCTCCCATTCATCTCACCTAGACATCTCATCTAGAGTCTTGTCCCATAGTACTAATCATGTTCAGTCACCTAAGTCAAGCTCAAGAAAGCCAAATATCACATACTCCTTCGTGGAACCTGGACCCAAAACAACGATGGTGGTAATACTTGCCTACCTTTTTAAAAGTTCAGACATCACGTTGCTTTTTGCTGTTTCCCTGAGAACTTCTAAGATTGCTGGGTGAAGGAACCAGAGAAAGTAAGGTTCAAGCTCCTTCCCTTGGTCATCATTATCATCCCTGGGAGCACAAGGATGGCGGTGGGATACAGAACTTAACTGAGGGAGCGGCCCCGTGACGTACAACGTCCCAGCACGGGAAATATCTCTCATCTGAAATGATACCTTACCATCCTCACTTCACGGGACTCCAAGGAGGGAGTCTGACTTGCGATGGCTGGACTTACAAGTGTCTCTCTCGCACGTGCTCTTTCTCTCACTTGCCTGGAGGTGGCCATTCAGACCTTGGGACGTCAGTCAGCCGGCGGCGAGCGGGAAGCCCGGATGGCGGCGCCCCCTGCAGGCC